GGAAGGCAGAGAACGTTCGGGTGAAGTAGATATGACTCTTACAGCTCGCGTGGAAGAAATATAAGGGGGGGGAACACCGTCACAGTACACGCACACAAACACACACACAGGCCAGCCTTGTGTGTGTCAAGGCTATGAACCAGCTTTGCTTGATCTGATATTTACCCTAAATGAGTCGGATATAAGGGAAGTTAAGTTGGAAGCCCCCTTGGGAATAAGTGATCATAGTGTATTGAGCTTTGAGTACCTGGTTGAGCTAGGAATTATCACCCCCAAAAAAGAACTGGGAAACAGAGGGCTGGCGTACCGAAAAGGAAACTATGAGGAGATGAATAAATTCCTATGGGATATACATTGGGACACAGAACTCGGAACCAAGTCCGTACAAGACATGATGGACTATGTCACCCAAAAATGTCAGGAAGCTGTAAGTAGGTTTGTCCCAGCCCGACAGGAAAAAAACAGAGAAGCAAAGGAAGACTCCGTGGTTTAATAGGGAATGTATGAAAGCAAAGGAGCTGAACAAAAGGGCATGGACGAGCTTCCGTAATAACAGAACACCAGAAAGTAGAGAGAGATACCAGAGAACCAGGAACGAGTATGTTAGTGTGAGAAAAGCAGCTGAGAAAAGGTATGAAAATGATATAGCTAATAAAGCCAAGACCGAACCAAAGCTACTACACAGTCACATCAGGAGGAAGACAACAGTGAAGGAACAGGTGATGAAACTTAGGGTGGGCGAGGACAGGTACACAGAGAATGACAAAGAGGTGTGTGAAGAACTCAACAAAAGGTTCCAGGAGGTCTTTACAATAGAACAGGGAGAAATCACGGCGCTAGGAGAGGTGGCAGCAAACCAGGTGACCTTAGAAAGGTTCGAAATTACAAGAGATGAGGTCAAGAAGCACCTATTGGAGCTGGATGTGAGAAAAGCTGTTTGGTCGGACGGAATCTCACCATGGGTATTGAAAGAGTGTGCAGGAGCACTTTGCTTGCCACTCTCTATAGTGTATAGTAGGTCACTGGAAACGGGAGACCTACCAGAAATATGGATAACTGCTAATGTAGTACCAATATACAAAAAAGGTGACAGACAAGAGGCACTGAACTACAGGCCAGTGTCCTTAACTTGTATACCATGCAAGCTAATGGAGAAGATTGTGAGAAAAAACCTAGTAACACATCTGGAGAGAAGAGACTTCGTGACAACCCATCAACATGGGTTCAGGGAGGGTAAATCTTGTCTTACAGGCTTGATAGAATTCTACGATCAGGTGACAAAGATTAAGCAAGAAAGAGAAGGATGGGCGGACTGCATTTTTTTGGACAGTCGGAAAGCCTTTGACACAGTACCCCATAGAAGGTTGATGCATAAGCTGGAGAAACAGGCAGGAGTAACTGGTAGGGCACTCCAGTGGATAAGGGAGTACCTGAGCAATAGGAAGCAGAGAGTTACAGTGATGAGAGAGACCTCAGAATGGCGTGAAGTCACCAGTGGAGTACCACAGGGCTCTGTGCTTGGACCTATCCTGTTTCTGATATACGTAAATGATCTCCCAGAGGGTATAGACTCATTCCTCTCAATGTTTGCTGACGACGCCAAAATTATGAGAAGGATTAAGACAGAGGAGGACAGCTTGAGGCTTCAAGAAGACCTGGACAAGCTGAAGGAATGGTCGAACAAATGGCTGTTAGAGTTTAATCAAAGCAAATGTAATGTAATGAAGATAGGGGTAGGAAGCAGGAGACCAGATACAAGGTATCACTTGGGAGATGAAATACTTCAAGAGTCCGAGAGAGAGAAAGACCTGGGGGTTGATATCACGCCAGACCTGTCCCCTGAAGCTCATATCAAGAGGAAAACATCAGCAGCATATGCCAGGTTGGCTAACATAAGAACGGCCTTTAGAAACTTGTGTAAGGAATCTTTCAGAACATTATATACCACATATGTCAGACCAATTCTAGAGTATGCGGCTCCAGCATGGAGTCCATATCTAGCAAGCATGACTAAAATGGAAAAGGTTCAAAGGTTTGCCACCAGACTAGTACCCGAGCTGAGAGGTATGAGCTACGAGGAGAGACTACGGGAATTAAACCTCACTTCGTTGGAAGACAGAAGAGTTAGGGGGGACATGATCACCACATTCAAGATCCTCAAGGGAATCGACCGGGTTGATAAAGACAGGCTATTTAACACAAGGGGCACACGCACTAGGGGACACAGGTTGAAACTGAGCGCCCAAATGAGCCACAGAGATATTAGAAAGAACTTTTTTAGTGTCAGAGTGGTTGACAAATGGAATGCATTAGGAAGTGATGTGGTGGAGGCTGACTCCATACACAGTTTCAAGTGTAGATTTGATAGAGCCCAATAGGCTCTGGAACCTGTACACCTGTTGATTGACAGTTGAGAGGCGGGACCAAAGAGCCAGAGCTTAACCCCCGCAAGCACAACTAGGTGAGTACAACTAGGTGAGTACACTTACACACACACACATACCTGTTGATTGACGGTTGAGAGGCGGGACCAAAGAGCCAGAGCTCAACCCCCGCAAGCACAACTAGGTGAGTACACTTACACACACACACACACACACACACACCACACACACACACACACATACACACACACACACACACACACACACACACACACACACACACACACACACACACACACACACACACACACACACACACACATACACACACATTCACACACACACACACACACATACACACACACACACACAAGGGGGCCTCGTAGCCTGGTGGATAGCGCGCAGGACTCGTAATTCTGTGGCGCGGGTTCGATTCCCGCACGAGGCAGAAACAAATGGGCAAAGTTTCTTTCACCCTAAGTGCCCCTGTTACCTAGCAGTAAATAGGTACCTGGGAGTTAGTCAGCTGTCACGGGCTGCTTCCTGGGGTGTGTGTGTGTGGTGTGGAAAAAAAAAAAAAAAAAAAAAAAAAAAAAAGTAGTAAACAGTTGATTGACAGTTGAGAGGCGGGCCGAAAGAGCAAAGCTCAACCCCCGCAAAAACACAACTAGTAAACACAACTAGTAAACACACACACACACACACACACACACACACACACACACACACACACACACACACACACACACACTGAGTTATCTGCGGCGTATGCGAAGCTGGCTAACATCAGAACTGCCTTCAGGAACCTGTGTAAGGAATCATTCAGAACCTTGTACACTGCATATGTAAGACCAATCCTGGAGTATGCGGCCCCAGCATGGAACCCGTACCTTGTGAAGCACAAGACGAAGCTGGAAAAAGTTCAGAGGTATGCCACTAGGATAGTCCCAGAACTAAGAGACATACGTTACGGATAGGCTGCGTGAAATGCACCTCACGACACTGGAAGACAGAAGAGTAAGAGGAGACATGATCACTTCCTACAAAATTCTTAGAGGAATTGACAGGTAGATAAGGATAAAGTTTTTAACACGGGTGGTATGCAAACATGGGGACACAGGTAGAGACTGTTTACCCAAATGTGCCATAGCGACGTTACAAAAGAACTTTTTCAGTGTCAGATTAATTAACAAGTGGAATGCATTAGGCAAGGATGTTGTGGAGGCTGACTCCATACACAGTTTCAAATGTAGATATGATAGAGCCAAGTAAGCTCAGGAATCTTTACATCAGTTGATTGACAGTTGAGAGGCGGGACCAAAGAGCCAGAGCTCAACCTCAGCAAGCACAACTAGCTGAGTACAACTACAGGACCTACATGACTTATAGGGCCTCGTGGCTGAGTGGACTGTGGTCAGGGTTAGCAGTCCCAAGAGCCCTGGTCCGTTTCCCGGCCGAGGCGGAATCTAATAAGCGGAGTTTCTTTCACCTGATGCAACTGTTCATCTAGACGTAAATAGGTACCTGAGAGATAGACAGCTGCTACGAGCTAAATATGTAGTTATCATAATAGAGGGAAATATATAGCGGTTAGAATGGCGGAGTCTAACAGCTAATAGCTCGATTCTGCAGGCACAAATAATAAATACACACACACACACTGGCGGACGCCACTGTACACACAGAAGCAGGTGCGACAATATACTAACACACTAATAAGGCCTCAAGGGGGCCCATGTGCTGTTGATAAGAGGTAAAGAACACAACGCATGAAGAAGTCAATGACAACGTGTAGAGAAGTCTCATTCCAACCCGCAGCTCAGCACAAAGGGAATCCCAGCCATGCAGACCCGACCCAATAGCGGCCTGAAGTACTCAAATGCAGTTGTCCTGCTACCTGGAAATATGGCAGACGCAGAGTGTTGAACGACACGATTGTTCTCACACTGGCAGACCTCCTCTCTATAGAGGTGTTGAGAGTGTGTTGCTTCCTTTAGGAACACATTCTAAAGACCATAATAAACACAAGAGCCTTGCACTTCGTTGCTGCTTCATTTCCATACGTTAACAGATCTTTTTAGAAAAAGATACTCAATTGCTTGAAGGCGTTAGCTGATAAAGTTGAAGAAACCAACAAACTTTAAGCCACTTGTTTATTTTATTTTTTTTTTTTTTTTTTAAGCACTTTACTCTGCCGATGTAAAGAGGAAATGCCAGTTATATCCCTGACCCTCACCTTTACAGAGCCACACCTTCAACGACAAGTTGTTCTTGCAACATCTGAGAAAGTCACACTTTTTCAAATGATTTCTCTAAGCTGAGTAAGATTATAAAAGCTGTTCAAGGTGAGGTAATACTGACAGTCATGTAGTCTCCGCCCAGACAACTTCAGCGAGATTACTGTAGTTATGGATGTCTCAACCAGTCAGCTGCAGGTGAGCTAACAGTGCCAGTCTTGAAGCTGCACCAGTAAGCTGCTGGTGAGCTAACAGTGCCAGTCTTGAAGCTGCACCAGTCAGCTGCTGGTGAGCTAACAGTGCCAGTCTTGAAGCTGCACCAGTCAGCTGCTGGTGAGCTAACAGTGCTAGTCTTGAAGCTGTACCAGTCAGCTGCAGGTTAGCTAACAGTGCCAGTCTTGAAGCTGCACCAGTCAGCTGCTGGTGAGCTAACAGTGCCAGTCTTGAAGCTGTACCAGTCAGCTGCAGATGAGCTAACAGTGCCAGTCTTGAAGCTGTACCAGTCAGCTGCAGGTGAGCTAACAGTGCCAGTCTTGAAGCTGTACCAGTCAGCTGCTGGTGAGCTAACAGTGCCAGTCTTGAAGCTGTACCAGTCAGCTGCTGGTGAGCTAACAGTGCCAGTCTTGAAGCTGTACCAGTCAGCTGCAGGTGAGCTAACAGTGCCAGTCTTGAAGCTGTACCAGTCAGCTGCAGGTGAGCTAACTGTGCCAGTCTTGAAGCTGTACCAGTCAGCTGCAGGTGAGCTAACAGTGCCAGTCTTGAAGCTGTACCAGTCAGCTGCAGGTGAGCTAACAGTGCCAGTCTTGAAGCTGTACCAGTCAGCTGCTGGTGAGCTAATTGTGCCAGTCTTGAAGCTGTACCAGTCAGCTGCAGGTGAGCTAACTGTGCCAGTCTTGAAGCTGTACCAGTCAGCTGCAGGTGAGCTAACAGTGCCAGTCTTGAAGCTGTACCAGTCAGCTGCAGGTGAGCAAACAGTGCCAGTCTTGAAGCTGCACCAGTCAGCTGCAGGTGAGCTAACAGTGCCAGTCTTGAAGCTGCACCAGTCAGCTGCAGGTGAGCTAACTGTGCCAGTCTTGAAGCTGTACCAGTCAGCTGCAGGTGAGCTAACAGTGCCAGTCTTGAAGCTGTACCAGTCAGCTGCTGGTGAGCTAACAGTGTCAGTCTTGTAGCTGTAGCAGTCAGCTGCAGGTGAGCTAACTGTGCCAGTCTTGAAGCTGTACCAGTCAGCTGCAGGTGAGCTAACAGTGCCAGTCTCGCAGCTGCACCAGTCACCTTGTGATGATCGAAGTCCACACGCATGATCAGCTGTTACGATGTAAACATCACAAAGTCCTTATCCTAAACTCTCTTACTAATGATTGTAACCAAAACAAACAATTCTGTCGGTATACATGTGAATTTGGTTACGAAAATGGGGGTGGGTAGGGAAAAGGAAATAATGGGGAGATGGACGAGGGGTGAGCGGAGGAGGGGGTGTGGATATGAATGGAAGGGGAGAGTGGGGAGAGGGAAGGGGCAGAGGGTGGCTGGAAGGGTCGGGCGGCGCAAGTAGCAACACAAAGGAACAAATTATTGGGTCCATCTCCACAGGTGCGTGTCCGCGCTTACTTTGTTTTTCCACCTCGTTGTTCCGCGGCCCTGACGAACGCCGCCACACGCAGCACGATCCTGTCTACTAACCTAATCATGCTTGCAGGGAGGGTTGAGATTCAGCTCGTTGGTCCCGTCTCACAACTGTGTTTACCTGGCCGGGATAATAACTTGTTCGTGACGACTTTGATGTCCAAGGGGCTGGATTTGTACTCACCTATTTGTGCTTACGGATGTTGAGCTCTGGCTCTTTAGTCCCGCCTCTCAACCGTCAATCAACAGGTGGACATGTTCCTGAGCCTATTGGGCTCTATTATATCTACACATGAAACTGTGTATGGAGTCAGCCTCTACCACATCACTTCCTAATGCATTCCATTTGTCAACCACACTGACACTAAAAAAGTTCTTTCTAATATCTCTGTGGCTCCTTTGGGCACTCAGTTTCCACCTGTGTCCCCTAGTACTCGTGCCCCTTGTGTTAAATAGCCTGTTTTTATCTACCCTGTCAGCTCCCTTGAGAATCTTGAATGTGGTGATCATGTCCCCCCCTAACTCTTCTGTCTTCCAACGAAGTGAGGTTTAATTCCCGTAGTCTCTCCTCGTTGCTCACACCTCTCAGCTCGGGTACTAGTCTGGTGGCAAACCTATGAACTTTTTGCAGTTTAGTCTTATCCTTGACTGGATATGGATTCCATGCTGGGGCTGCATACTCCAGGATTGGCCTGACATATGTGGAATACAAAGTTCTGAATGATTCCTTACACAAGTTTCTAAATGCCGTTCTTATGTTGGCCAGCTTGGCAAATGCCACTGATGTTATCCTCTTGATATGGGTTGCAGGAGACAGATCTGGCGTGACAACAACCCCCAAGTCTCTTTCTTTCCCTGACTCTTGAAGAATTTCATCTCCCAGATGATACCTTGTATCTGGCCTCCTTCTCCCTACACCTATCTTAATTACATTTGCTTGGGTTAAACTCTAACAACCATTTGTTCGACCATTCCTTCAGCTTGTCTAGGTCTTCGTGAAGCCTCAAGCAGTCGTCCTCTGCCTTAATCCTTCTCATAATTTTGGCATCTTCAGCAAACATTGAGATAAATGAGTCTGTACCCTTCGGGAGATCATTTACATATATCAGAAACAGGATAGGACCGAGTACAGAGCCCTGTAGGACTCTACTGGTGACTTAAGGCCAATCTGAGGTCTCACCCCTCTCCGTAACTCTCTGCTTCCTATTGCTTAGGTACTCCCTTATCCAATGGAGCACCTTACCAGCTACACCTGCTTGTCTCTCCAGCTTATGTACCAGCCTCATATGCGGTACTGTGTCAACGGCTTTCCAACAATCCAAGAAAATGCAGTCCGCCCAGCCTTCTCTTTCTTGCTTAATCTTTGTCACCTGATCGTAGAATTCTATTAAGCCGGACAGGCAAGATTTAGCCTCCCTGAACCCATGTTGGCGATTTGTCTCGAAGTCTCTTCTCTCCAGATGTGTTACTAGGGTTTTTCTCACGATCTTCTCTATCACCTTGGATGGTATACAAGTCAAGGACACTGGCCTGTAGTTCAGTGCCTCTTGCCTGTCGCCCTTTTTGTAAATTGGGACCACATTCGACGTCTTCCATATTTCTGGTAGGTCTCCCATCTCCAGTGACTTACTGTACACTATGGAGAGTGGCCAAGCAAAGTGCCTCAGCTCACTCTTTCAGTACCCATGGCGAGATCCCGTCTGGACCAACAGCCTTTCTCACATCCAGATCCAACAGGTGTCTCTTGACCTCCTCTATCGTAATTTCGAACCCTTCCAATGCCGCCTGGTTTTCTTCCCCATCTCCTTGCACAGTGACCTAACCTTGTTCTATTGTGAAGACCTCCTGGAACCTCTTGTTGAGTTCTTCACACACCTCTTTGTCATTCTCTGTATACCTGTCGTCGCATGTTCTAAGTTTCATTACCTGATCTTGCACTGTTGTTTTCCTTCTGATGTGACTATGGAGTAGCTTTGGTTCGGTCTTAGCTTTGTTTGCTCTATCATTTTCATATTTTTTCTCCGCTTCTTTTCTCACCCTAACATACTTATTCCTGGTTTTCTGGTATCTCTCTCTGCTTCTGGTGTTCTGTTATTCCGGAAGTTCCTCTACGCCCTTTTGTTCAGTTCCATTGCTTCCTTACATGCCCAATTATATACTATGGATTCTTCTTATGCTTCTCGGATTTTTCCTTTTGGGCCGGGATAAACCTGTTTACTGCCTCCTGACACTTTTGGGTGACATATTCCATCATGTCTTGTACAGACATAGCTCTGAGGTCTGTGTCCCGAGGTATTTCCCTTAGGAAACTTCTCATCTCCTCATAATTCCCCTTTCGGTATGCCAGTCTTTTGATTCCTAGTTCATTTTTTTGTGGAGATAATTCCTGGGTCTACCAGGTACTCAAAGCTCAATACACTCTGATCACTCCTTCCCAAGCGTGCTTCCATCTTAATTTCCCTTATATCCCACTCATTTATGGTAAATGTCAAATCCAGCATGGCTGGTTCATCTTCTCCTCTCATTCTTGTTGGTTCCCTGATGTGCTGGCCTAGAAAGTTTCTTGTTGACACGTCCAGCAGCTTAGCTCTCCATGTTTCTGGTCCTCCATGTGGGTCTCCGTTCTCCCAATCTATCTTCCCATGGTTGAAGTCTCTCATGATTAGCAGTCCATTTAATTTCTGTTTAGCAACAGAAGCTGCTCTCTCTATTATGTCAATTTTGGCCACGTTGTTTCTATCATATTCCTGTCTGGGTCTTCTGTCATTGGGTGGTGAATTATATATGACTACAATTAAAAATTGCTGTCCTCCAGTTGTAATGGTACCTGCTATGTAGTCACTTTAACCTTCACAGCCCTGAATAACCATCTCCTCAATATCCCAGCCTTTTCTTACCAGAAGAGCTACACCACCACCACCTCTTCCTTCTTTCTCTTTCCTCATAAAATAGTAGTCTTGTGGGAACACTGCATTTGTTATGGTTTTCGTCAGCTTTGTTTCTGTGAGTCCTATTATGTCTGGGTTTTCATCTAGTACCCATTCTCCAAGTTCATTTGCTTTATTTGTAATTCCATCTATGTTACTGTACACTGCTTCGAGGCTCACTATCTTCTGTCCCTTCTCAAATCGCCTCCTTTGTTAGTGTTCTGCTGGTGGGGGAAGCTGTTTCATGGGTGTGAGGATTTGTGAGGTGAATAACAGGGTCTCAGAGGATATTGGGGTGAGGGGTGGCGTGTCAAGTGAAAGGGAGGGAAGGGGGACAGGGAGAGTTTGGGATAAAGGGGGAGGAAGGAAGGAAGGAAATCAGGAAGGAAAAGGGGGGGAGGGGGACACAGTTGGAGGAGGAGAGGGGTAGCATCGTTGGAATGGGGTATTGGGGAAGGCGATATGGCTGAGCATTTGAGTGGGGGCAGGGAGTGTTTGGGGTAGGGGGGTTTTCTATGCAGAGGAGGGTGGTGGGGTTGCCCTCTTCTTTGGTGTTACTGGGTAGCTGGTTGTGGGTTCCCCCTTCACCTCTGGAGATGTAGTGTTGGGAGCTGTGATTTCTTGGTTTCCCCTCTCGCCCTGCGCCCCTGTCTGTACTCACCTAGTTGTACTCACCTAGTTGTGCTTGCGGGAGTTGAGCTCTGGCTCTTTGGTCCCGCCTCTCAACCGTCAATCAACAGGTGTACAGGTTCCTGAGCCTATTGGGCTCTATCATATCTACACTTGAAACTGTGTATGGAGTCAGCCTCCACCACATCGCTTCCTAATGCAATCCATTTGTCAACCACTCTGACACTAAAAAAGTTTTTTTTTTATACTAAAAAAGTGTGAGTGTGTGAGTGAGTGTGTGTGTGTGTGTGAGTCTGTGTGTGTGTGAGTGTGTGTGTGTGTGTGTGTGTGTGTGTGTTTGTGTGTGTTTGTGTGTGTACTCACCTAGTTGTGCTTTCGGGGGTTGAGCTCTGGCTCTTTGTTCCCGCCTCTCAACCGTCAATCAACAGGTGTACAGGTTCCTAAGCCTATTGGGCTCTATCATATCTACACTTGAAACTGTGTATTAAGTCAGCCTCCACCACATCACTTCCTAATGCATTCCATTTGTCAACCACTCTGACACTAAAAAAGTTCTTTCTAATATCTCTGAAGCTCATTTCGGCACTCAGTTTCCACCTGTGTCCCCTAGTGCGTGTGGCCCTTGTGTTAAATAGCCTGTCTTTATCTACCCTGTCGATTCCCTTGAGAATCTTGAAAGTGGTGATCATGTCCCCCCTAACTCTTCTGTCTTCCAACGAAGTGAGGTTTAATTCCCGAAGTCTCTCCTCGTAGCTCATACCTCTCAGCTCAGGTACTAGTCTGGTGGCAAACATTTGAACCTTTTCCAGTTTAGTCTTATGCTTGACTACATATGGACTCCATGCTGGAGCCGCATACTCCAGGATTGGTCTGACATATGTGGTATATAATGTTCTGAAAGATTTCTTACACAAGTTTCTAAAGTGTGTGTGTGTGTTTGTGTGTGTACTCACCTATTTGTACTCACCTTTTTGTGCTTGCGGGGGTTGAGCTTTGGCTCTTTGGTCCCGCCTCTCAACTGTCAATCAACTTGTGTACAGATTCATGAGCCTACTGGGCTCTATCATATCTACATTGGAAATTAAACTGTGTATGAAGTCAGCCTCCACCACATCACTG